ATATAAGTACTGAATGCCAAAAAAGGAAGTTAGAATACTAATTACAGATTTTGAACAAATTAAGGATGAATGTGAAGAAATCACTTTGAAGAAATAGTAACTGATGAAGAAATTTTTGAAGAAATATCAGATTTAGAAGAAATATCAAGTGAAGACGAATAGAGAAATAGAAGAAATATAAAATAAAAACTAAAATTTAAAACTATTCATAAAGTAAGGATATATTTTGCAATAAAATCTATTTCATTAAGGATAAAACTAACATTTTACGTTTTTTAGGAAAAGCCTAGTTGACCAAAGTTAATCTAAAAATTCTCCCACTTAGTACTAGGTTGCTTGATTTCCTTAGGATATTGTATGCTTCACATCAATACGATTTGAACTGGGTATAGTATTGACTGCAAGAGAACAAACACAAGAAAAAAGAAAATATTATGTCTACCAGGCTACCGGCAGTGTCATGCATATTTTCCCCATCAACAACAATACAAGAATCGCCCTAATGGATCCAAAACATGCCGTGCACCAATGATGGATGCCACGAAGGCACCAGACCCACCATTAAGGCTAAACCCAACTTGAAATGCAATAAAATTCCTAAGCACAAATATACACGACAAATTGGGGATCACCTGCCCCTTAAAAATACACATGACAGTTATATAGAGAAAGCTAGAACGTAAATCCTAGCGCATGTTATAATTTACCAAAACAGTGCATAATTTACATCAAATGGCAGCAAGCCCGTCCAACTGTCTACATTTCAAGTGATACAAAAGGATAGATACAAAATACAATGAACATGTAGCAACTGAAATGTCCGTTTTCACTTATTTTCATTTTTTTCTGTTTCCAGTTTAGCTCATATATAAAGCACAGAAAGAGCTCGTGCAACATTTGCAGATAAATGCACAAGACAAAACTCAGATGTAGAACCTAATAGCTTAGATTTATGTCAAATACCTTTCTGCTCCGCCCATAGCTTCAACCATTTCTTTGCAAAGTTTCATAGGTGGTGGAAAGGGCTTAGGGTCTCAGCCGAGAATAAAACCAAAATCAACATGGAAAAGACGGCCATCATCCTGGAGCAGCAAATTATCAAGGTGCCTATGCACCAAGAAGATAAATAAGATAAGAGCTCCATTTTTAATACCATAAAAAATTCACAGGTTGTAGTTCGGCAGATATGTTAATTTCTGGTTTATTAGGATGATGTTCTATTGCGAAATAGCTAATATCACATAGTAAACTATAACTGTAAATGATGACCAACATTACCCCAAATCCTAAGGGAAACAAAAAATAAGAACTTACGCTATTAAAGAAAATAAAAGCAACGAAAAATAAAGAAAAAATTAGTGTGGCGGCAAAATCATTTCCATGCAGATTGGCATCCTAGGAATCACCTGTCATCGATGCCCAGTATATATGTGATAACAGAGTACCCTGCGCAACTTTTAATAAATGTTTCAAGACACGTGGCAGTAATCCCGGATGGTCCATCTTTATCAGGATGAAATTTTTGCAGGTAGCTTGTAATACTGCGATGTTCTGAGAGAATCTGAGAGTGGAAAGGAACAACATCGAAACAAAATGAAGAAATTTAAAGATGGTAAGTGCAACTCATCAAATATATGTCCTTTAAAGAACAATAGTAAATCAGGACGGAACAATGATGACTCTAAGCAGTAAATACATCTACCTTCACCAAGGATAAAATACCTGAGCTAAAGATTTGGATGGTATGAATTCCATCATGCCTTCATCATGTCCAGTTGCTAACACTCTGTATGGAGTTAAATGCAGATCAAGATTCTCCAACTTAAGCAATCGATCAATTAGCGACACCATTTGAATAACCTGATATTATCTCATTATATTACATCTATGAAATAATGATACATTAAATCAAGTGTGTAATAAATACTTAGAATCTACCAACTGGTCTTGCCGAAGATCATCTTCCTTTTTAAATATGATCTTGCAACTTCCACCACTTGCTGTTCGGAAAGCCAGACGCAAGGGATGCAATGCACTTTTAAAAATTGACGATTCAGATGGTATGATCCCTGTTATAAGTAACCTAGGTGCTAGAGGGGATCGAATTGGCTGAAATGCAGATTAACTTGCTTAGATTTCTCAAAATGAAAACGGGATAGGAATGCTAATTCGTAATCATAAAAAAATATGTAGGCTAGTATGTGAGACATGTTTTGCGTAACATGCATCTTACACTAGCCACAAAAAGTTAACCAAGATCAATACACAAATAACTTTGCAATTACCTCATCAAAGTATGTAAGTTCACTAAGAAGCCCCGAAAGAAGATGCCTAAGCTTTTCTATCTTCTTCTGAGTTCCACCTCTCACATTTCTCACGTCTCTCATTATAGAACACAATTGTGCAGTCAATTCTGTTTGACGCTCCAAACTCTGCCATAACTTAAAACCATCTTCATCACCATTAGCTCCAGCTCCCAACTGTGAAAATGAAATCCAGTAAGCTGACATCTTCGAAGCTAAGAAAAAAGTAAGATGAACAAGATATACCTTCATGTTAATTGGTATGGTTGCAGAATTTCCATAAAGAAACAGCAATAGCCATGCATTATATTCACAAAACTGAACATTCATTATGAAACAAGATTTTTCTCTCTAACTCGACTACTCCACAACAACCAATATGTCTGAGCACAAAAAGAAATATTATTTCCTGAGGATTTTATTAGAAGATAATCACCGTTGAATTGTACTAGCTAGAGTTTATATTTATCATAAATAAAAGGGACGGTAATAGATATGTTTTATCTGCAAATTTTCAAAGTAGATGGCATTTAAAGGGTTTCAATATCCTGAAACCATACATTGGCATGTTTTAATAGGACTGGATAGAACTGGGCATCATCAAGAAAAAAGAAGATGCTAAATTTTGATTATTATACAGTCGAGTCCTATATTGTTCCAAACATGCACTTAAAAGAACCACGCTAATATATATGTATACTGGACAGTCTTCCTTTATAATCTAAGGCGTTCCGATTTATCAAACATGTATACGTTGAGCTGGACAAAACTCTCGAACTGAATCAAACCGGACCCGAACCAAACCATTCTTTTTAAGTTAAATACTCGAATGAGTATCTGAATTAAGAACCAACGTGGTTTGGTTCTGTTCTCGGTTCTAAACCGAGAACCAAATCTCCCTAATTTTTTTATCTTAAATAAGCTAAATTATTTTTTTTTCTAAACAAATTTGTTAACTAATTAATTTAGCCGAAACTCAAAATATGATTCTACTATTTCTAATTTTCAACTCAAGCCAACTTAATCAAATTGACCTAAATTTTACCAAAATCTCTTATCCCACCGTAGTGTCGTTTGTGCCGTTCTACAAACATCGAATTGGAAGTTCAACTACATCGCTATTTATTGTGAACTCGCTATCTTTCTCTTTTTGTAATTTTAACAGTCAAATCTATAAAGAACTCAATAAAGAGAGGCACAAAAGATATCACGAGATTTGACTAAATTATTTTGTAAGAGCCAAAATTGAGCATATCATTAGTTGAAATAATGTAGTAGTGTTGTAAACATTAAAAAATTTAATTATTATATGGAACATGGGAACCGAACCGAACCCAATCCAAAAGGTTCCATAATTAAATTTGGACTCGACAGTTCCACTTACTAAATACTCGATAATTCGTGGACCATGTCCAGCCCTAAGCATATGAATGCACAAGCAGCAAATTAAGAAAGAAAATCCCCAACCTTCAGCATACTTTCTTGCAGAATCTCATAGGTACAATAAAATCGTCTTGCATATGCAGGATCATGAAGTTCCACTGTAACGTACCACCGGAGAAAGCTAGCCAACTCAATATTACGTAATGCTGCCAACAGAATGATTCTGATCATACTCATAATGAGCTCAAATACATTATAAACTTGGTTAAAAGAATTTGGTCTTTATCACAGGAAGCATACAGCGTTGCACGAGGAAATGACTTAGGCGGGATTTATCGGAGCGTTCAAACCGAAGAGCTTGAACCAGCTGAAGTAGGTAGCACTGGAGCTCTTCATCATCAGCTCTTTCAAGAACAGTAACAGCATATGCACGGACCTGTAATGGAGGTGAAACTCAGAAACACTCGGTTAGCTTACTAATTTAATATATTGTTTTTGTTTAGAACATTCGGTCGAGTCCAACCAAAGAAAAATTTGACTGCATTACTACTAACAAAAAAAGCATCTAAATCTACTGTAGCCTGCTTTAATGCAAACACCGATAACGAATTCCTCAGCTATTTGCTGAAAATAGAATCTAAATAGAACCATTAGAATGTGGATGAGAGAAGCACGCAGTAGCCAATATGTCTTGAAAACTAACCTCTTCACTCTCAAAAACTGAAGATAGAAGCTCTAGTGCATCACAAACATCAATTGTCTCCCACTTGCTCATCAATTCTAATGCTTGCTTTGCTTCCTGAAAATAACACAAATTATAATAATTTTATTAGTTACAAATAGTGAAAGATGGAGGATGAAGAAAATGATGCAAGACATTTGTGTATATTATAGGAAAATTCAAAACATCATATAAATGGAACCCACTAGGACTTGACCTGAACATCACTCCATTCAACACACCGTAGAAATTTTGTCAAAGCCCTCTTTTCAGACATTAATGAAAAACGAAATTTCCAGAGAAGCTGCTTCTCCTCTCCGCTCAAGGTCCTTGTTGGGGGGTATTTCAATATTCTTTGAATTGACCTTGAACATAAATAGGATTTCAGATTAGCTAGAACAAAAAATCCAATCAACATAAAGAAGTTGTGGTGCTGAATATTATGGCCATTATTTAGGAATTTTTTCATAAAAACGAATGGAGCTTTATAAACACCAATCTGCACATTCCAGCCTTCTAAGGCTCTTCTTTCCCTCCACATCACCCACATAAGAAAGTATGCAACCACCTTCTTTCCCAACTGGGAGCAGCTCTTGTCAGTCATTAATTAAGGTAGTACTTCTTGAATTAGGTACATGATAAAGTGTAAGACAGAATTTGCATATATACGCATTGGAAACAATTAGCAAATCATATCCTACTCGCCACAGAAAGTATCCAGTTGGTTTACTTGAGAACTTCACTCACACTGAAGAAGTAAACAATCAGCACAACATCTAAACAATTTAACCCTTAGTCCCAATAATTTTAAGGATTCCTTGAATAGCTACTAAGTCCTGTCTAGCATAGTGATACATTCAACGAAATCATATCTTTTACAACATCAGATTATGTTAATTTTGGTCTACCTCCCTTTATATCATTTCCTTTGCCAATCATGTTATAGTAACATGATAAGATCATGCTCTGAATTCTCACTTCTTCCCATGTAGACACGAAGATATGGCAACTAAACAAGAGTAATCAACTGGGAATTTCTAACATATCGTTGTGAATAGAATAACACTGTGATGAGTACAAAACTGAGAATTACAGCCTTGCAGTTAGACTATTTTATGTGAATAAAAGATAATGACTGAAAAGGAAATGATATTTGGGTGTTCGAGAGACCCAATACTCTCCACTAATCCTTCCTCAAACTTCTGCCTGCCTACAGGGCTATCTCTAACTAGATTTATAGCATACTTCTAACAGATTTTCCTAACTAATTTCCCCTCTAACAGACTCCAGTTTTTCACCCACTTGCAAGTCATTTCTCTTCTGGGTCCTTCTAGAATAAGTGAGATGGATTGGAGCCTATCAATACCCCCTGCCCTAAAATTCACCTTGTCCTCATGGTTAGAACACGGGAATTGCTGCCTGATCGTTTCAAATGGTTCCCAGGAAGCTTTAAAGTCCAGCAATCCTTCCATTTGATCAACGTCCTTCCCATGAATGCAAGCTTATCATTTAGTAGAAATATATTAGTTACCTACTTGTACTCTTTGTTATTGTTAGGACTAAAGTGCAATATTTCTTTTTAACCTTGTATATATTCTTGTATACTTCCATTTTATCAAAAGAGAAGTTTTTCCCACTTCCTTCCCGTTACCCAGCTCTGGCGACGGCGCTACTGTGTCTGCACAGTACCGGCGACCCTTAGGCGCTCGGTTCTTCTCTTTTTGGACCGTTGTAGGTTACCCAGCCTGATTTCGGCCCTGTTTCCCGTTACCCAGACGAAGACAAAGTTCGTCTTCGCGTCTGGGTCTAATCAGCTCCGGCGCTGATGTCGCGACTGTATTGTCACTGTTCCGGCGCCTTTCTGATGTTTTTTCTGCCTTCCAGTTGCAGCTTCCGTTTTTCCCAGGTGTTTTCTCGGCCACTTCAGTTTTTCTTCTTGGTTTTTGCTTGACCAACTTCTGTCAGTAGCTCCGGCCATTTCCGTTTCGCCTTTTTTTAATGACACGTTCAGATTTCTACATTACATTAGTTTCTGGTGAAGAAATGACATTATTGTTAGGGGCTACTGAGGTATTTTCATAGATTTGCGACTATGCCTGAAATTGGTTATTGAAAATTAAATACGATATTGGTCGAGACAGTGAAGATTGGAACATGGTGCATATGGGTTCCGAAGTTGGGGTCTTTTGAAGTTTTTTTTTCTGTTGGTATTGTTCTTGTATTGATTTGGACCCACTGTTTAAGCTGGTTCTCGTTTATTTAGCCGTGCCATTTTGGGTTTCTTGAGGCTGTGTACTGGGTTAATTGGTTAAAGGTTGAGCTTGAATTGTTTGCATTTGGTGTTTCCCGTGCTCTTCATTCTCCCGCAATCTACTCTTGAAAGAATGACTTCTCACGTGGCTTGTTCATCCTCTGGGGAAGGTATCTTTGGACTGCATTCTATCTCTACTGCATCTGATTGTTGGGTTATAGATTCTGGAGCTACCGATCATATTACCTGTAATTCTTCCACATTCGATTCCTTAACAACTCCGCCTGTTCAGTCTGTTCAAGTGACTAATGGGACTCCTGCTAAAGTTACCGGGGCCGGAAGCATCTC